ATCGCATAAAGAATATTAAAAATCTTGAACTCATTATAAGAATTCTAGAAGCTCGAACGGTACCTTTAACAAGAGCAAAACACAAGAAATAACAATAAATGCAATACAATATATGGTCAATGAACATTGTGAGGTAGAACCCTGAGGGACTCGTGGGTCTCATACACCCACCTAGGAACTATATTCCTTGAACATACAAATCAATAAATTTCATTTCAAAAATATTGAAGATTTCATACGCAAATTCCCGGTCAAACTTAACTGTTTGACTCTCGAAAAATGAAAAGTACCACATAAATTGGGACAGAGGGAGTAATAGTTTTGCTTTCAAAATAATTCTTATCTTGGTGTAAAAAACACTTAAAGCAAGAAATGCATGATAACTAAGTACAACTTTACAATGATAAGATTTTCGAATCACAAGTGTTTCCTTAACTGGAGCTCACTCTCATGTTCAACAATAAATTGAGAACTTCAATGCTTATGCTCCTACTAATGGTGCAAATTTCTAACTTTGTTGTGAATGTGCATCTGTGTCTTTTGAAGGCTGATGAAGTTGTATGGCGTTGTAGATATGCTTTAGCGATTCTTGATATAGTAATTCTCATTACAAAAATTGGTAGAGGCGTACAAAAAATGAACTGATTGATTTCATATTTCTTAAATTGATTTCAATTGCTTAAAACTTAATTTAAAATTTAAAGTGATAAGGCACAAGTACACCCTAAGCGATGACCGAAATTTCAGAGACACACATAAACTTAACTATTTGTTGGACATCAGTTTTAATAATCACACCATAGTCATGCCTTTATACCCCGGCAAGGTATATTGGGTCCTGTCGGTGGGGAATATACATCGGACTCCACATGTAGCTCACGTGGTTTATGTCGGTTAATAGTACCTCCCACCATCAGATTCATATTTCATTGACCATGCATTCAGTATTTACTTCAGTATTCAGTTCAGCAGGGTATCTTCACGATTAGTACTTGGTCATTGCAACCAACTCAGTTTTCAGTTATGCTTCAGTATATCTATTTCCATGTTTAGTTGTCATATTGTTCATCTTAGCATATATCCTGCATGCTCGGTACATTCAAAGTACTGACGCATACTTTTGAGCTACATCGTTGTATGATGTAGGTTCAGGCGTTCAGCATATAGACCACACTTAGCTCGATTTCCAGTCCATACTCAGCAACTTCAGTGGTGAGTCCTCATCATCAGAGGACGTTTCTTTATGCTTTTAATTTAATTAGTTCGTTAGTACTTTTAGTATTTTAGAGTTAGCTGAGGACTTGTCCCAGTAATTCGTCAATATTAGAGGCTTTCAGACATAGAGTCAAATTCAGTTGTTTTTGGGATGTTCCACATCTGAACACAATTATATTCTCAATTGAACTCTTTTAGAATTACTCATCTTTAACTTATGTTGCCACTTACATAGAGTTATTACAGTATGCTTGTGATATGTCAGATTCACGGTTAGTTTAGGGTTACTTGTGACCTTAGGTCCCATTTACGCCTAGGGGCTAGTCTCAGGGCATGACAAAAAAGATCTCCAAAGCTAGACACGATCAGCCACTGCGGTGAGTACCCTGACTAGAATCTGAACATAAGTAGGAGTGAGTACAATCCACAAGTACTCAATAGGCTTGGCTAACTGAGCAAAATGAATTAATCGACTTATGACGTATACTAAGAAACGCTTCCACCTGCATACAGAAAAGTCTCATACTGATATTGGTGCCACTAATTTATAATGAACGACACGAGTAAAGTAAACTCATAAGGTCACAATAGTTCTGATATCACAGACAAGTCAAGCAATTCAAATGGTTAATGCAATGCAGTGAGAGGATGCAATGATATGGTGGTACAGTGGAATCAAGATTGTCGACCTGTCATATACACCCTGTCGAGTTAAGGCTCCTAGACAAGGATCCATGGGGGACTCACGGTCCATATACCAAATTACAATCTTAATATCTCATCAACTTGCCACCTCAGTGTGGCCAATGATATAAAAAGATGTCTCACTTTCTTTCTCAAAAGGAATCTCCACATTTTTCTCAATTTTCCAAGAACATGATATGATGAATGAGGATGGATGCATCACAACACATAGATAACATGGAGGCAATAATAAACTCGACATGTATCAATAGTCTAAATTTCTCAAAACTCGGCTGAATCATGATATACACCTTCATATGAAAAATAGTGGGAAAAAGTTCATTCGAAATAAGTGAATTTCATTTAGAAAGCATTTCGTTTACTCAAAGTATTATAAAGTTTTAAGCTCAGCCCCTCACTCGGGCATTACAAATCAAATAACATTACAAGCCTGTCACAAAGGTAACTCATGAATCAAGTGCTCTCAAAGCAACTAGAACAACAATTAAGGCCTCAATATAGGCTAAACAACACAATCAAGCCCCCATACAGGCAACACAATATAATCAAGCCCCGGCACGGGGAACACAGTACAACTCACAGTCTAAAATCATACTACCATCCCATCCCATAGACTAAAACATAAGACCAATTACCTAATCCTAGTCTAGGAGAAGGATAAGCCAAACCTACCTTAAGGCCGAAACTTCACCCGAACAACTCTACTGGAGAAAAACCTCAACGACACACTAAACGAAATGATCATCAACTATCAAGAATGGAAAGAGTTTATCAAAAGGAGTCCAACGATACCTGCTAGAATTTGAAATCGGGGAAAAATAGTTCAAAAATCACTTCAGAAATCAAAAGGGTAAAATCACATTTTCAGTTGAAAATCAAGTTCTACAAGTCAAGAGAAATTTGTGGTTGAAAAATCCATTAAAAACAAGTAAGAATCGAGCTCTAAATCAAGAATTTACTACTTTTTCAACTTTGGGAGAAAACCCCCAAAACCCACATTTGAATTGCACTCAAAAATGAGAAATTTTGGAAAAACTTCGTCAAAATCAGTTTAGCCACAATACAAAGACCTTAAATCCCGAAAATCAATGAAAACTCATTCAAATTGGCCTTCAAATCAACAACTTTCAAATTCACTACTTTAGAGTACAAAATCTCAACTTAATGGATAGAAATCATGAAATATGAAAGGTATATTCTTGGAAAAAGAGTAAAATAGGGTTAGAAATATGTACTCAATGATTATGAGAGAAAAACGCATCAAAAATCACCTCAACCCGACTTTTCTAGCTCCCATAATGTTAAAGATATGAAATAGATATTTAACTTTGCGATTCCAACACTAAAACCCATTTTTCATTGCTCGAAGTCTATTTTTGTGCCACTAAAAGTGTGCACCAACAACCTTGAAAACATCTTCTTGACCCACGAAACTCATTTGGAATTTTATAAACACAAACCAATAGTGCAAATTCATCATAAAAAATGTTTTGGAACCAATGGAATCGTCAAATATATATATAAAAAAAATGGTTATGACCGAAATACCCCTCGGAACCCATTTAGGCAAAAAATTTCATCATTTTACCTAAATATCTAAATCACAACCTAAGGTCTCGGGACTCTAACCAATCATCTTACTAAACCAAAATCGACGTTTCAGACTCGATAAAACTGACATAATCCCTATACGACTCTCAAAACTCATAATGTTGACCAAAGTCAACTATATAAAAAATTCTCAACTCAAAAGGGGCAAAATCACCAAACACACACCCGATCACATTGAGGACCATACCAATCATTCCCACAACCCAAACTACGCATGAAAAAGCTAAGATGGAGGGTAAAATGGTCATTTCACGATTAAAAGCAAATTTAGAAGAAATGGGATATTATACTATCCACCACTAAAACACGTGTTTGTCCCCGAACGAAAAGCAAAATAAGATACCTGAAGGGATGAAAAACTGAGGGTATCTACGATGCATATCAGACTCCACCTCCCACGTTGCCTCCTCAACAGGTCGGTGCCTCCACTGCACCTTCACTGACTCAATATGCTTGGATCTCAACTATTTAGTCTGTATATCCAAGATAGCAATCAGCTCTTCTTCAAAAGACAAATTCTGATCCAAAGCAACAGAATCCCACTTAATCACATGAGAATCATCATGAAGATATTGCTTATGAATCGAAACATAGAACACGAGGTGAACCGCAGATAGGCTCGAAGGTAAGGCCAATTTATAGGCTACCTCTCCACACTTCCCCAAAATCTCAAAAGGTCTAGTGAACTGCGGATTGAGCTTTTTTTTCTTTTCAAACTTCATCACACCCTTGGTGGGGCACACCTTAAGCAAAAACCTCTCCCCAATAGAAAAGGACACATCACGAACACCAATCCGCATATCTCTTCTGCCTACTCTGTGCGATTACAAGGCATTGCTAAATCAACTTCACTAGTATAGTTAACTTAACCAACATCCTAACTAATTGATAGTTAGCAACTAACTAATTAGCCAATTTTGAAATCAGTTATAACAAACTCTGCAATCAACTAAGTGCGGTATTCACTTTAACATTATCATGATTATGAGCTACTTAGTTATTATCAGTAATCAAAATGACACATTATTATCAGATTAATTATTATAGTCTCAAGTTAATTGCATGTTTCCATTGGGACTACGCTAAGTTCAATAAATTTACCTAACTCTTTTTACATAAAATTTTAAAAATAAGATGTGAATTGTTCACCATAATCTGAAATGATAGAAATAAGTATCTCATGCAATTCAATTATCTCTCATATATCGAGATAAGTAGCATTTCACTTTTCCCATCTTCCGATACATCTCACTTCCACCTATATTATATTATTTTCCTAAATTATATATATATATATAATATTTTTAAAATAATATTTTAAGCTTATAAAACAACAAAAAAAATCCAATGAAAACATTTTTGTTGATACCAAACACACCCTTAAATGCCATTTTAATCCTTGTGTGCTAAACTGTCCCCACTGCGCCGCCTGGAGCAAGTAGACAATTGTTCATAGTTGTTATCTATTCAGAGAAACATTTTTCTTTTGTTGAGTCTCATCAATGGTAGGACCAATTCGTCCACAATTTGTGCTTTTTGGCTCATCCATAGTACAATTCAGCTTTAGTCATCAAGGATGGGGTGCAATACTCACTGACCTTTATGCTTGCAAGGTTTTCTTTCTTTTTTTCACATCCTCTGCGTCTCCACTTCTCCCTTAATTTTTTTTAGATTACGTGTGAGTTAGTACATGAATTTTTATAATCGATGTGGTGAATTGCGAAGTAGTGGATAGTGGGTACCACTTGATTTTGCAAAATTTTTATGGTTCTCAAATAAAACGAGTCAAGAAGTCAGAATAGTGGTATTATGAAAGTTATGATTAGATTAATAATGAAACGAAATGTTATATTGAAAATTATAATGAAAGAATTGTTATTGTGTAATTAAGAATTAAGGGACTATACCAGTTTGTTGGGTTCAAGTATACACAGATTTTACCCCTACTTTTGTATACTAGAATCTTCACATTGCTTAATATACGGATTCTTATTTCTGCATAAAATAATGCATAGATTCCTGCATAAGTTACGTAATTAGTATTATTTATAAGAATAATATGCAAAATTGCAACCAAATGGTGTGTAAGTTTCATTGAATTTAATGAGGGGATCAATTTTCCTCATTCAAGAAACCAAACTAAGGTATACATGGTTATGCTGAACTCAATTCAAGACTTTCTTGTTTACTACAGAAAATGTTAAGCACTAATGGATGAGTGAACATGAAATTTAGCTCAAATTATTCCTTTTTTGTACTATGAATGTTTTGTTTTGTCAAGAATCAGGAAATTTGGACAAAAGATGTGTGTAAACATTAAAATATTATTATGTAATACATGGAGTAGCAATATGGCCCTGCTAAATTGTTGACATTCACCAGTAGTGGAGATGATACACTTTTTAAACCTTTTTGTCTCCATAACAAGGAACTAATAGGTTTGAATTGTGAATTGTGTGAACTACATCATCTAAAAGTATAAACTGTTAGAGATGGGACACTTTAATATATTCATTTTAGGTTCTCAACACCCCTTACAGGATAAGCATGCGGAAATGTTCTATTGATAGATGTTGATGAGACTCGAACAGGGAACTTCTACCTGTTGTCTAGCATGGTGCTGTGACGTGTTTGATTATTCCCTCGTTCTTGGTTGAGGGACTAAGCAATCTAAATCAATGCCATTCGTGTATGATTTCAACAGTAAGAAAGAGGGGCTGAGATTGACCAGCGCTTAGCAAGTGAGATAATTGCTGTTGTTGGCATAAGTTGCATGTTTCTTTCAAGTATAGTTAGTTAACAATTCCTTAGAACATGATAAGTACAGTTTACTTGATTGAAAACTTTCTCCTTTAGTGTCAAGTGTTCCAACAGCTACATGATGCCCCTTTTGCATTGTGAATCATCAATAATTGGTCGAGCTTCAGTTTTAATTGCTAAATGATGTTATGGTAAAGAATTATAGGACGGCTTTAATTGAGTTGTTCTTAAGTTCACCTCTATTTTGGTTTGCTGTAATTTATTCTTTTTTCTTGCATTATGTTGTTTTTCCATGCTTTCAGATGTGATTAACTATTGAAAGGTTTTCAAGGTAGTGGTGCCTCTTCTTTCGTGGATTAAAATGATAATCGTTTAGTTTGAATTTGAACTTTTTTCAATAAGTGGTGTAGATACATGTTTTGAAATGAAGAACGAAATACTTCTAAGGCTAGCTCAATGCCTACTTATTATGTTTTGTGTGTGCTCTGGAGTTTATCATAATTTTCAGTCACTTGCTTGTACAAAGGCCGGGGCTTATTTAATCAATCATACTGATGAAATAGGCAGATATACTGCTGCGTGGATATGCAGGTTGGAATTCAAGGTGCGCACTTCAAGTCTTGGATGAAGTGTTCCCCAAGGTAATTGGTGATGATCAAAGTGTGCTGTCCTTTTCCTACTTCCATGTTTGAATAATTTTATCTATGTTCCAAGACAATGTAGGATTTGCTAGGCAACTTCATGGAAATTATTGAAAATCATCTAACTTAGTGTTCAGTTCCTCTATCCCGCTCATATTTAATGTTGTTCGCTCATATGTTTTTGAAACTTAGGATGCAGCTGTACAGCCTTCTCTGGTCATAGTTTATTTTGGAGGGAACGATTCAATGGAACCTCACCCAAGTGGCCTCGGTGCTCATGTTCCTCTTCCTGAATATGTAGAGAACATGAGGAAGATTGCAATTCATCTGAAGGTAACATTTCTAAAATTGAGTTGCACGCCGTGAATATACTCCAATGTGGTCTGGATCAACATTAAAGAATAAGAATACCTTGTTTTTCCTCACAACAAGTCTGCACGGGAAACTGTAATCTGTTTTTGTTTCAAATTTGACAATATGTATTTCAACCTTTTATTTTGGTGACACTTTCATTCATCCTATAATAACTCAGTTCTCAATCATCAGGTCAAATTAATGGTGATACAAACAGTATATTTGAGCCACTTGCTTTTCTTGGATGAAGTGTTACCAAAATATTAAGATAAAGCGAATGTACACAGATATTCTGATAAAATCTAGTTAGCACTTCAGCATCAACCTTTTTTTTTTAACAATATTGAATTTGGTTTGATTTGTAACATGTATCTGCTGCACTACCAGAGCCTCTCTCAGAAGACTCGGATAATCTTTCTCACTGCTCCTCCCGTGAATGAGGCACAAATGGCTGAAGTATTTGGGTAATCAACGTAACGCTAAGCATGGAAGTTTTTTTCATGGTTTGTTGAATTTCTTATTGCTAAACTAGTGACACATGCTTCTCATTACTGCACATAACCAGTAATGATCTTGGTCGATCAAATGAATCCTGTCGGAAATATTCAGACGCTTGTGTACAGTTGTGCCAAGAGTTAGGTGTGAAGGTTATAGATCTTTGGAAAGCACTTCAACAGAGGGATGATTGGTTGACTGCTTGCTTTACGTAAGTTTTTTATTTATTCGAAATCACTTTTTGTGTTTTGTCATGCTGAACATGTAAAATTAACTGTCGCTTTGGCGATACAAAATCCAGCTTCACACACTACATCAAAAATGATCATTAGCGGCAATTAATTCTTAATTACCACTTTTTAGCGGCAATTAGCACGCTTTGTATATATCCCTAAAGCCTTTAGCGACATTGGTTCTAATGGCACTTAACTAATGTCGGTAAAGACTTTATCACTCTTTATTAATGTTAGTATTTACTGCCGCTAAAAGTTGTTTTTGTTGTAGTAACATATGTGTCAATCAATTAAATTTGGAACTACCCTTCTTAAGATATCTACTTTAAAGAGTCAACTGGTTCAAGTTTAAATTTTGGTAGATCTTTCCTTTTGGCTAGTACCTGTAGTAATCAACTAAAATGCTACCATATCTTCTCGGTAAAGACTGTATCGCTGTTAAATGTTCTGAAAAACTTGAAAATGCAAGGGGATACTACAGGTCTTTCTGTCATAAGTGGCATGTTTTGCTTGCTTGGATATGGACATAAGTGACATCAAATTTACTTGAACTATGTAACGAAGTAGGCATTTGTGAAGGAATGGACTTACATGGTTGTTATGACTGCCTTGTGGCAATGGTGACGGATATTTGTTCTGATGGACTCTTTTTCCACGGGTTAGAAATCAAAGCATCTATAGATGAGCTTAGGTTTTCTCTCATTTTGCTCGTCATGTCATAGATCACTTACATGATCGAAAGCTCCACCGATCGGCTACCTACTAACCTTCTACCCTAATTCTTGATCTTCATATCTTCCTATCGAGGGTCATGTCCTCAGTAAGATGAAGTTGTGCCAAGTTATGTCTATTCACCCACCCCAATTATTTTTCAGCCTACCCCTATTTCTCGTAACTTCTACTACAACCAAGCTCTCACACATCCTAACTAGTGCATCCTCGCCCCTCCTCTTCAAATGTCTAAACCACCTCAACCTCGTTTCCCTCATCTTGTCCTCCACGGAGGCAACTCCCACTTTGCCCCGTTTAACTCTATTCCTAATCATATCTCTCCTAGTATGTCACACATCCATCTAACCATTCTCATCTCCACTACCTTTATCTTCTGAACATGAGCATTCCCGAGTGACCAGCACTCTACCTTGTACAACAGTGTTGGTCAAACCACTACTCTGTATAACTTACCACATTGCTGAGCACACTATACATATTAAATTTTGTCAGTGGTTCTGATCATAGATCTAGCTGAATGATACCTTGTATCCTGGTTGTTTTTATACTAAACCTTCTTTGGCGCTTATTCTGTTAGCAATCATCATGTTTATCCTATTTGCTTCTAATGTTAGATCATCTTTGACACGTCCCGTTGGCAATCACCATCTTCATGTATAACTTTCTTGATTTGTTTTCTGAAGGGATGGAATACATTTATCATGTGAAGGCAGCGAAATTGTGATCAAGGAAATCTTGAAAGTTATCAAAGAGGCGGACTGGGAACCTAACCTGCTTTGGAGATCATTACCTACTGAATTCCCCGAAATCTCTCCGTGTATCTTTGTTGATCCAGAGGGTTCGACGGTTATAAAAGTTTCAGAGATGGATTTTGCATGGCAGACTCAATGGCAATAGTTCAGACTCTGATTATTCATTTGAACTTGTCTTCATGAATCAGTTGGTTTTCTTACCATGTATGTGAATTCTTCCAAGAAAATATAATGCAAGTCTTCCCTATGAAATCAACTTATTACAACTCCTTGTTTTTTTTTCTTTTTTCACTCTGTATTTGGTATCTGTTTTGAATTTCTGGATTGGCTGCATTCGGGGCCCCATAAGATTCATTTAAGGGGAAGCAGGCTCAAACCTGAAACCTCTAGTTAATGATGGAAACATTTTGATTTAATAGGTCAATCTTCAGGTTTTATCACTGAACACATGAAATTATAGGTTCATAATCTATTATTTATTAAACATTTGTAGTAACTTTTTACATATATCTATGTTTTGTGTTGAAAATATTGGGTATATATGAATTAAGTATTTATGTTTTCTATCTGTCACTATTTATCTATCACGTTACAATCTTGAACGATAACTCTCCTCCTTTATTCGAGCTTCTGATCTCCTATATGAATTAACTTTTTACACATATCTATGTTTTTCATGGTTGTTGAATTTCTTATTGCTAAACAATATTGGGTATATATGAATTAAGCATATGGAGATATACCACATGAATGATATAGTTTTTAGGAACTAATTAAGCCTTTTCCTTTATTAGCATAAAAGGATTTAGACCACCTAATTATCTGATCTCAGCACAAGAAAAATATGAAATGGAAAAATCTTTTCTTCTGCTATTTCTAGACCACTTTCTAATTCTTTCTATCGCATATTGAGTATCTTGAAAAAATAATAAGCGGGGTTTATTCTAGTGATTGAGCATCTTTGATAAATTGAGGGTTCGAGTAACAAGGGAAATAAGTGGGAACAATACAATTGATCACATTTTGAAGAGGCAAAGACATGCCATTATTAAGATAAAAGATTCTTATAATATATGATGGAAAGGGATTTAATTATAAGTTTAAAGTTATTTTAAGCTAATTACCAAATATAATACTTAATTCTTTTCAAAATATAACAATTTAGAAAAATAGAAGATCCGTGAATTTTAGGCTCATATTTTGGTATATCTGATGTATGCCTATGTCAGCATAATGTATAAACATGACTCTTAACTTGGCTTCAGCGGACAACTATACCCTCCAACTTTGAGTGTGCACAAGTAGGCACTGAAACACATATAAAATTGAACAAGTAGACACGCGTGTCCTACATGGCATAATACACGTTGGATGCCACATAGGACACAAAATTGCCATGTAGGGTGCCATGTAGAACGAATGTGTCTATTTGTTCAATTTTATACAAGTTTAAGTGTCTGCTTGTGCACACCCAAAATTAAAGGTAATAGTTGCCAGCCAATACCAAGTTAAGGATCATAATTATGTATTATGCTTATATATTGCTGTATTTTCTATTTATCATATTATACATACAATTGTCCACAGACATACGGGTGCATACAACGGCATACAAATATGTATATCACTAAATATTGTCCGTATGTCAAAGTATATTTTTGTATGCCATGTGTATGTCAAGTGTATATATTGGTATGTATAATGATATATTATGATATACATGAAGAGAAAAAATTGTGAAAACCATAGAAGAGAACTCTAACACGACTAAGGTATGTACAAAAGAGAAGACAAAATACCATTTTTTTATGAAACTAATTGGAAGCTATATATATTGGATCCCCTGAATTGAATTGGTCCATGAATCTAAGAAATGGTGAGAATTCTTGATCTCTCACAATATCTCTCTCAATTTAAAAATCGAGGATATATATATATATATATATATATATATATTCATCTACTTAGTGGTAAAATTTGGATATCACTATGTCTATGTGATGATAATTTTCTTTAAAATGTCATGTTAACCCTTGAATGATTCCTAAAATATTATTTAATTAATGTTTGTGAATGATTAGTAGAGATGTGTGCAAAATAACAATATTATAAACCACATCTAAGAATAAAATAGAGATTATTTAGTGGTTGTAAACACATAATTGGCCTTAATAATTAAGCAAATACAAGTTGACTATTCTCTCACATGACTTTTTAGTCTTCCTTTCAAAGCTATGGGAAAAGAAAAAGTCTTAGCTTGATCTGAGATTACTTTCATTGTACTGCTGCTAATTTGATCGACCAATGACATTAAAAAGAAACGATTGAATTAATAATCAAAACCCTAGCTAGTTAAGTTATTACTATATAATGTACTTTTTACCAGTGTTAAGTAAAAGAACATAAGTACTTGAAATTGAACTCCAAAGTTTTATAGCTAAACATGTTTTCCAAAGTTTAACTCCGCAAAAAAATCAAAAAAATTCAAGCCCAAACACATCGCATTTACCCTACCTAATAGGAAGATGCAATTCATCGTAAAATGCTGACAAAACCATCCACTACATTCATATACAACTCCAACCAGCTACATCAAGTAATCTTAACGAAATACACGGAAAAGCCAACAAGAATCTCGTAGGATTGAAAAGTATATAAAAGAGTTCACAGTAAATATACAAGCATCCAAGAAATTTTTGTATATAATGACTATATGATACATCAAGGACAAATCTCAAACCAAGCATTTAGATGACGACATGCCCAAACAAATGATAACATTACCAAACAAATGATACATACAGAAGGTGGAATTAAGGGAAAAAACTAAATTAACAGCAGCAAGAACAGTGGCAGCAGCAGCAGCAGTACAGAGTCGCCAACATCCAACTTCCACTGTAGAAATCAAATTTAGTGGTGTTTGCCTCCTCCAAGAATAATATGAAACAAAACTAGGCAACATACACCAGAGTTCAAAGCCTCAACATTAGTGATAGACCAGAGTAAGTCTCAAATACGGTCAGATACGTGCACTGCTATCCAATCAAAACCTTTAACTGGAGAGCTGGAACCTCCCACTAGGCTTTTTCCTTCTCCACCCCTGCAAAGTTGAAAATTGTTTAATTTCTCCTCCATCTTAAGTGCAAGGATTTGAGATGTCAGACAGTAACAGAGACTTACAAAGGCAGCATAGTAAACAAATGTCAGACCAGCTAAAACAATGAATCCAATTTGAAACACGTTGTACCTGCGAAGACATCTTTCCCCATTCATAACATGATTCTTACAGCCAGAAAACCAGCTCTTGGTGAAAATCTAGAAACAACAGCAACTTACTTGTATAGATACTTAATTCCACGAAGAGATTGCAGATTGTGACCAAATATTTCTTGAGCTGCAGTGGCTTGAGCATAGTATGCAAAGGCTGTGGCGCAGAACTGAATGACACTGCAAGAGCAGAAAACAAAAGATAATACCACCAAACTTTTACACCAAGTGGAAGCAGGAGAAAGGTGGTTATCAATCCAAAAACTGCAGATTGGCTAATACCCTTTCAGAAAACCAGAATACTAAGTAAAATTATATTTAGCATCCTCAAATTGCCTGTCTTCTATTATACCACCTATCAACTCAGCACAGTATTTAATAGATGAAACCATTATCCAACAAAGTAGATGAAGTTATCTGTTTTTTATTTAGAAATACGGGGGAAATGCGCGTCCTTTTAACAAGTGCCTCATAAAATTCAGCACGGAAGTTTCAGGATATCCTGTCAGAGGAATTCATGCTTTCCTTTCCATAATTGCCTACATATGGTGTAACTAGTAAATGGTCTACAACCACAATACCCCCAAGTTAGATCAAAGCTACAACAATAATTCCCCAGTGAGATCAAGACCGTATAAGAAGCAGGCTGCTTCTTTTGTAGGATCTAGCCATAACCTGGAGGACCTGATGTAGAATGTTGTTTCATGCCTTACTTTAGCCAAACATCACCCCACTCAATTTCCCAATAAATTGAATCCTAGCTGGTACATTAAATGCTTTACTATTTGCATGGACAACCCAAAGTGTCCCACACACCAGTGGTCTAAGCATTTGTCCTTCAGATAATCATCATTAAGATCAATTGTTACACCGCTGAAAATGGAACAAATACATAAGAAAAATTGAACAGCAATAATCCTACCTGATGGAGCAAAGAAGAATAAGGCCCACATTGAAAAGAAAGGAGTTCATGAGCGTAGCTCCCCACCTGTAAATAGTGGTCCAGCACAGCAGTGAGACAGGGAAGACAGAGGAGCAAAGCAGGTGGCAAACAGATTCAATAAAGTATAATTTCAAACAGCAGAAGAAATTTACTTCATTGGGTGAATCGTAACAAAAACTAATCTCAAGCCAATCATCATTGCTCCAGCAATCACCGCAAGCAGAAGGTAGAAGCAAAAAAATGCAAAAGCTGCAGTGCCCAAAAGACCTGGAGAAATAACAGAAAAAAATACCATCACATTTCATGTATCAGTCACCATACATAGCAAATAAGGCAGGGGAGAGAAAGGTTGAAGGTACCCCAAATATCATCTAGTTTGATGAAAACCTCATTAAGGAAAGAAGAAAGTGGAGGATCAATCAGAAGATATATCACAATATGGGCAACCCAAGCTACAGAGACAATCAGCCTGTTTACATGAACCAAAAAACACAAATTCACTTCTTACCATCTATTTATGTCAAATTATTCCAAAAGAACTAGTGGAAATTAAAACTCCATCACATTCCCACATACCCTAAAACGCCTAGGATGAGTTTTGCCAAGTAACCTAGAACTGTCATTGCCCAAGCAGTCTCAGCCTGCCAAAAAGAGGCCATCAAACTAGTTTGCTCAACAAAATTACTTTGGCAAGGTGTGAAAAGTAAGATTTTAGCCGGCCAAGTATAAAAGCACATCTCCTTTACCTTTTCACCTTGAGGATACATTTCCTCTAGAGCCTTGACATCGTCTTCAAGAAGAAGAACCTCCTGCAAGGTAAAACAAAAAAATCATTTATCAAACTAACATAAAAAGAAACCAGTACTTTTCAGCTTATTCATTTCCTGATATATTAATCTGACAAAAAAACAGAATCTTCATCCAACATCCTTAAGATAAATGAGATAAAATTAACATAAGGTCTGAGATAAAATCATCAATAACTTCAATGTAAAATTTCAAGGACAAATGGATCATGCATATCAAGAGGAGTGTCACTTGCATACGCAGATT